AATAAATGAGTTCTACACAGAGAAATAAATGCTAACACTTATTGGTTTCTCTACTAGAAAAAATGGTGTTAAACTGTTTGTAAAACTTGTCATTTTTCTCAAGACTATAATAGATATAAAACAGGACAGTGTGACAATTTGACCTGAATGTTAATTGGTAGGATGTAAGGTGAGAGTACATGATGAAACAAACATGGAACTGGGTGCCAATTGTCTTAAATAAACAGAACTTTGCTAAATTAATGACACCATTAGTACTTATGTTATGTAAGTTGAAACATAAATATTTCATCTAGTTTTATGCTGGTGATGGAATCTGCCTGTTTCAAGACTTTAACACACTGTTAGTTGTATTTATGGTTTCCTTTTGTGATGATACTAGGCATTTTTTTATCCAGGATTTTAATTTAATGTCTTTTATGGATATGCTTATTTCACTACTCGCCAAAGTAGGTATGAGTAGAAAATTGGTGTAATGGGTAATGAAAATATAAAGAATCAATAAAAAAAATTGTTGTATTTATAGTAGGTTTACACTTTCTCTTGAGAGAAAGAAATTTGTCCTATCGTCTTTCACATGCACTTTGAGCATCACGTGGTGCTATAAGAAGCTCTTTTCTAATCTCGTACGTTGAACCAAAACAACTTTGTCATATTCATGAGCATCAGATGCATATCAAATGAATGTAGCAGTGTATCACATATGGTAATCAGGCACTTTAACATTATGTTCTGTGAATCACCTGGGATGCACAGGACAGGGTTAGGTTAATATAGTTAGCGATATGTGAATGATGTATCTTGAATATCCTATACAAGTTCTCTCTTAACAACTTTGACACAAAAAAACTTAATTCACCAGAAGAACCTTCCGTTTTTCACTTAGGTCACGATTTGGCATGAAGAAAAGTGTAACACCACCATTAGCACTGCCAAAAGATGAAAGAACTGTCCAGGATGGTAAAAACAAAACATTAACAAAATCACAGAATCAACTTCTAGGAAAAGCAAAGAATATTTTTGGTTCTGTCGAAAAGCCTAGTTCAACTCCACCACCTTCCAGTCAACTCTTGGCAAGGATGAAACATAGGAATAAGTGTGTTCTCAACTCTCAGGGAGACGGAGAGGAAAGTAGTGAGAATGAAGATGATCCTTCCACCCCGTCAACATCCAAGAGTAATACGGAATATGATGAGTTGCTCACTGACATTAGGAACTTTGTGGCATTTCAAGCCAGTGTGGATGGTCAGGCCACGACTGAAGAAGTACTTCAAGCTTTCAAAGGCAAATGTCCAACACACACTGCTCCAGTGTTTAAAATGTTACTTCAGAAGATCTGCAATTTTTATCGACGGCCAACAGGAGAGGGAGTTTGGAGACTAAAAGCTGAATTTAGGTGATCCTTTGGGTAAATTAGTAAAAATAATCTTGGTATGAAATCATTGAAAGTAACTTATAAAGAATGTAATTATTGTACTAAAACTTTAATTGGTACTTCATTATTTGTTTATTAAATGTGGAAAGTGTTAAGTAAATCTTTCTACAAAAATACCAGGGAACATAGGCTGTGCACAAAAACATTAGACTGTGTGTTTTGTACAGTTGAACAACAGTATAAAAAATATATGTGGCAATTATAGCAGCAAAGAAAAAAAGGTTGTGTATTATAGTAATTTCATATTATACATAATGAGCCAAATTATTGTGGTTCATCTATATAGCCTTACCTGTTGACCAATACAAAAGTGCTGAAACCAGACTGTTACTAAAACTGTAAAGTCATCTGTCTGGTGAAAATGTTAGAATGTAAATCAGAAAGAATTGGTCTTTCATTATAATGAATTTTTTGAGATAACTTTAGTACACTAATGGGCATTGGTAAATCCCATGTGTTTCACATAATTTGTGCTTTTGATTGTGGTTGATTTCTTTCATTTTGTAACTGAACTGTAATAGTAAAAACCAAGAGATTCCAAAGTCATTTTTGGCAGAACTTTTTGACTTTTCTTATTTCCACTAACAGTCATTGCTGTTACATGCTTAATGCTATTTCATTTTCTCTCCACCTTACATAGTGGTAAATAAAAACAGTTTAATCTACAAATATTAATTTATGAATATTGCATATAAAAGAAAAAAACATTCCTGGTTAATGTAGCAAAGATTTTTATGGGGAGGAGGGTTGGGTCATCTTTCATCTTAAGAAAGAATGTAAAAAGCCATGTGTTTGTTGCTTATCAGGGATTTTTCTATAAAAAAAATTAAAGCCTGTAATATATTATTCATGTTAGTTTCAATAAAACATTTTGTTTGTTACTGTGCATCTTATTTTGCTTTGCGAAACAACACTTTATCTTATGTATTAACCATACCAGAAAAAAAAATATATATTTTTAAAAGGACAACTGTAAGCTGAAAATCAGCTTAATATTAATGAGAATAATATTCTGTTGATAGTGGTATGAATAACTCTCTGGTTTGTAAATTCACAGTAAACTGAATCATGTTTTACATAAAAGGGAATATTCTGTAGCAAGAACTGGGTGCATGAGAATTTGAAAGTATTTCTATGTAGTATCACATCATATTTAGATCTCATCTGACATCACTGATGTTTATTATTGTCCATAACATTTACTGTTTTTGTTTTCATTAACTGGTTCACACCATGTGAATCCTGCTCACACAACAGTTCCTAGTTGTTTCTCCGAGCCGAGTCTACATTTTGAGAAAACAGCTTATGTGCTAGTCCACCACGTTGTCAAACACGTGGAATTGATAGGTTTTTGACAGAGCTTAAAATGTAACTGTTGCTTTCATGAATGTAGGACAACATCACGTATCCAGGTTCTGTAACTTCCAACTCGAGTGTACACACCAGGTGTATTTGGTCGGCCACAGCCAATCCCGAACGAGACGATTCCAACCTGATACCAATGTCCTTTCTTCTCGCAACTTAATGGACCACCCCCATCGCCCTTAAAAAAAAAAAAAAGTTTAAAGGCATAAGTCTCATTTATCTCAAAGTTTATTCTCATATCACACACATAAACATTAATTAAACAAAACAATATTTTAGTATCTTTAGTGCAATAGGTGAAGGCAGTGGTTTAAAATTGTTGTTTAATCAATTACAGGATAAGCCATATCAAGCTATAGGAAAACTTTTAAGATATCAAAAATACAAATATTTGTACACAAGTATCTACAAGAATTATTGACCACTTTATTACGTAGAACTTGATATAATGAGTAAAAAACGATGTGGTTTGCTAGTTGCTCCAATTTTTGATGTACTTTAAGAGTAACTGTCTACTAATTTTGCTTCTTGGGGGAACTTTTAAGGAAATGCTACTACCAATTTCATGAGTTAATTTTTGCAAGCTTCTGCATCTCCTCAAATTATTGTTAGAGTAAAGTAAGAAACCAGACAAACAGCACCCAACTTCATTGCTTGATACATTTTGGTATGTGTGTAAAGTTACAGAAACATTGATAACCTGTAATGGCACTCGCAGAGACAATAGAAGTTGTTTAGCTTAACATTTTTTAACAGTTAGATATTGATGATAATTGCACATATTATCACAGACTTCCAAGCTACTATAATGTCAGTCTGAGTCTTTTTCTTATATATATTTTTTGATAGTAGATCTGTCAAAGTGAAAGAAAACAATGTAGATCTGATAAATCAGTCAACAGTTAAATCAGTATAAAGCTTTAGAGAATTGTAATAAAATGCTTTGTTCAAAATTAATGAATTAAGATGCCCTCCCTACTTTACCTTTGTTCATTTACTTTTATTATCAACTTAAGTGGGCCTTTTTACCCACCAACGATTTTCTCGAACGATCGGGGGAAGTCCGAGTGTGTTCGAGATGCTCTCGTCGTTAGTATATAAGCCTGGCAGAGAAGGCCAGCAGGGACGATATATATATGTGTGTGTGTGTGTGAATGAAGAGAGAGCAATAGTTACTTTGAGTTCCGTGTAATTTATGATTCTGTTAGTTCGAGCTAGTGAGCCGTAAAGTGTGTTTTGCACTTGCCGAGAGCGAAGTTATCGAGATTGTGAATCACTGTGATTTATAGCGTGTATTATAAAAAAAATTAAGTTTAAAGTGACGAGAAACGTACTGATTGTGGAACTACTGTGTACTAAAACTGGTTTGATCAAGAAAGGACTTGTATCACTGAAGATACTTGGAAAGAATTTCTACCGGAAACAAACAAACAAGCAGATACCCAAGAGTTTCATGAATTTTTACATGTTGAATTACGAATTACCATCAATGTAAACGAGACTTAATAACTATATAACGAGACCCTCTGTACAGACGTTAGAAGAGAACTTGCCCATGTTGAGAAAAATAAAGTAAAGCATTGTTTTTACTACTGTTTGGACAAACAGTAATTGTTTTTAAGACATCAGGTGGTATTATTCAATTCTTTTAAAACTTATTCAACCTTGTACAATAATTCATTGAAACATTTTCAAAAGAACTCACGTCACATGCATCACGGCCTTCTCTTCCTGCGCAGATAGATGTATCTGGAAGTTTGTATTGGGGCCCAAAGTGTTGCTTCAGCGCCCCCTCACAGTCATTTCTTTTCCATAATGGGACATTAACTTCTTTTAAAATTAGAGAGTGTTCCGATGCTAAAAAACAAAATAAACGTTTCATTACACAAATTATAGTTGGAATTAATCCTACACCACTCTTGAACGTCACATTTTTTAATATAGTTAGAGTATCTTTAATTATAACCCATATGATATCTCAAAACTCTAACAATTAGCAATATACATAAGCAGTCTTTCAAGGTGGTTTCACTCAACATGAACAGACGTAATAAAACTTGAATCTTTATTTAACCGTTTTTTTAGCATCACAGACTACTTTCAGAAACCAAAACTATAAAAACCAGAAACAATTGAACATTTTTTTGAAAAATGATGGATTTAAGTTTCATAAAAAAAAAAGAATTCGGGTTGTCTTGTATGAAAAATACATTTTGGAATATGGTGATATCGCTTATCTACGTTATTATAAAGGTCAAATGTAGATTTAGTTAAACAAGTAAAATTGTTAAGTAATTTCTTTTCCTTTTACATTTCTTGTAATATACCAAACAATGAATTTATGACGTGAAGTTAAAGTTAAACTATATGATAAATAAAACAGTAATTATTATTCATAATATGAAAACGAAACCAAAACCTTAGTTTGAAGTATTTCATTCAACAAAAGAGAACGTAAAAAGTTATGCCAGAAATTATCGATATGAATAATTGCCATTGGACATAAATCGTTTTGAAAAAATGTTTTTTTCTTTCTTTTTTGAATCCAGACTTGAAAACAAACTATAACAATAGTTTATTACTTTAATAGAAGAGGAAAAATTATTCTTTTCAAATAGAAGGTGCACCATGCTACGTGTTATAATTTATTTTAATAAATATTTCAAACTTTACTGTGGGAATTAATATAAGGATATTTCGAAGAACAACTGTGAAACCTACCAATGTTTTATAACATATTGTTACGTCTCCGTTTGTTAATTAACTTTCTGTAACTTCGTTCCGACGAAACTTTAGCGACACAAATTCTTTACTTAATAAAACTGGTTTATTCTTTCCGAATACAACTTTACCGATACACTCCACTTCAACAATCGCGCTAAACAAACGCTATAACAACGAACGTCAATAATACTTCTGACTGCAGTTCAATTACTCACTATCTACACAGACATTACATTGTCACATTGTCCCCTCTTTTATATGCCCGACTACCCTATATCTAGTAAGAACTAGAACATTCGCCAAAGTACAGGATAATTCTAGAAAGTAGAGAGCGTGAGAATCACGTGATCTCGATGATGCAACAATATTATTTAAGAACAAAAAGAGACCAGCTGGTCCATCTAGGTTATCCCCTCCACTATAAGTAAAATAAGACACTCAAAACCAGCTCTTATTATTCAAATATTTATCAATCCTTCTCATAAACTTCATTAAATTAACTGCGTCTACCATTCTGAAGGCAACCCATTCCTCATGCAAACCACCTGTTAGAAAAATAAAACTGCTTAGTTGAAGATAACTCCTACCTTGCCCAAATTTCTATTTGTGTCGCCTAAGCCTACCATTAAGTATAAAAAAGGATAATGTATCAACACTATCTCAATAAGAACCCCTCTAACTCTTGTTTTTCCAACAGAAAACAATTTCTAAGATTTTAATCTCTCCTCATATGACAAACCCTCTCCAACAATTCAATGTCCTTCCTAAAGTAAGGAGACCAAGACTGAACACAGTACTCCAAATGTGGCCTAACCAATAACGTATACAATGACATTATAATTTCAGTATTTCTGTAGTTACAGCCTAAACTCCTATTTTCCTTGTCATTAGCAACAGAACATTGCTTGGTGATATTAGAAGATTGATGAACCAGAAAACCAAGATATTTCTCTTCCATAAAACTTTTAAGGTTATTCCCATCAAAAATTATACTTGCAATTCAAATTGTTGTGTCCCACATGCATTACCTTGTATTTATGATAATTAAATGTAATCTACCATTTAATCACAAGAGAAGTTAGTAAGTGAAATTGTTGTATTAGAGTCTGATGTGAACTTAGACATGTCTTTAGCGTTAGTTAAGCCAACTTGTAGAATTAATAGTCAAAGAAATAAATCGATTTCGTTACTATTAAGTGAACTGGATTTTGCCTTCTTCTATTTACCGAACAATCGAAAAGAACGATGAAAACAGTAATAACACTGATGTCAAAAGTGGAACTGTTTTTGTAAAAACATTTGAGGCCAAAATTCAAGATGACTTCATGTGTTCAAACTGAGAAAATGTGCTGGAAGTGATGGAACAGTGAAAAGATTATCAAAAATGAGAGAGAGAAAATTTAAAGATGACTAAGAAAAAGACAGAAATTTAAAAGGAATTACAAAATCAAGATAGAATATTTGTTGAAGGATTGCAAATTAAAATAATTTTGATATAAACTGTACAAATGGAGCTTGATAAAACATTAGAAAAAATATATAAGGATTATAAAAAGGAAATCAACGAGGTAAATAAAACATCAATGCCAGGATGAAGGATTTATAAATTGAATTGGAAAATCAAGGTTCGAAACAGTCGCACCTCTCAATGCATCAAAGACCACTATGCAATATTGAATGAGAAAATCTATCTGATCTACACCTGTTACGACTGCTGTTTTCATATCTATGACTGTAGCAACTTCCTGAGCTACTTCAGTTACACCACTATCTCATCATGTTATAGAGAATAGCAAGCCAGCTCAACAATATTGCTCAATTGAAAAATCAAAAGACTGTGACGGAAGACGTATCAGGCACAGTTGAATAAATTTCCAAAATGAATAGATGGAATAAAGAATAGCAGGCTATTCATCTTGCTGCTTATTGAAAAGTACCAACTGTAACGACATTAAACAACCTTCTAACAGTGAGCCAGGACAACTCTGAAGTATTGGTGGCTACTTTATCAAATTGTGTGGAGCTTCACATCAGAAGAAAGTTTCTAAAAAGGAAAGTTTAGGAGCAGAGTAAGAGGAAAGACGAAACCTTGGCTAAACTTGCTCCACCTGATGGATTCATTGGCATGCGACCAATTCAAAGATGTCATATGGATGAGGATAATATGCGAATAAGGCTAAATCATAGTAGGTGTATGTCTTTGAAGGAAACTGTCAAATTAGCGATGAAATTTAATTCAATTAAAATTGAAGATAAACATCTAAAAGTACCATTCAGGGATTACAAGATGATATTATCAAATAGTTTGAACATGTCGACTCCCTGTGATGGTAGTCTAGAACAACTCAATTAGACAACTGGTTACTCAGAATGAAGCCCCCCCCCTCCCCCCAGTGGCAGGTTTCGATACCCGTGGTGGGCAGAGCACAGATAGTCCATTGTTTAGCTTACTTCCAAACAAAGAAACAGAATGGAGGAAATAAACCACAAGACAGTAGGTGTTTTAACTACGCCTTAAACGTAAATAGTGCCAAGAGCTGTACATAAAAGCCTGTAAAAAATAAAAATTGTTCACATAGAATGAAAGAAAAACTATTATAAGTGTGTAAAACAGAGATATTACAGCCGATACTGTGACAAATCAGCGGGTTATAATAAACCAAGATGTTCCATAGTCCAAACATATTCAAGGAATAATAATGAGCTAATCAGATATAGAAAGAAAGAAAGTGTTCAACCTGTTTAAAACATGGACATCACAGTCGAAACTATGATGCATCAAGAAGTGGTAATAAACAAAAAATTCGAGAACCAATGAAGAACAAAGATATCGATAAAAAAGGACGTAGCTGGACTTAGGGGAAGAAATTCAGCTGAGAATACTGCATCTGCTCTAACTGAGATAAGGAGTTCCACAAGTTAATATATCATTGATGAGAAACCTTGCAACATGTTGATTGACACTGGGTGTTCTATAGCTACCTGATATGGTAATTAAAGGTGGGAACTGGCTTCAAGAGATGAAGCAAGAGGATGGATTGATACAAACAGCACGTAGGAATATAGTTTAGCAACAACAATAACAACAAAAAAAAACTGTTGAAAATTATCCTCACTATGGGAACCTTCTCCATACAACATGATGTTTGGATAATTCAAATCAACGAAGAGTGGGTATTGGGAGAAGACTTCATGTGAAAACATGGATATGAGGTTATACTCATTTCAAACAGTTTCATAGTTTCTAAATACGAAAGCCCTGTACACTACATGACAATCACAACATCAGGGGTTCTACTTCCATTGACAACAAAAAGAGCAGTTACTATACAACCAAGATGTGAAATTCTAGTACTAGGAATTACTAGAATGAACTTTAGATCCAGTTACTTGGATTGTGATAGAGCCAAACACTTGACTGTCTTGAGAGATTATGGGCTGGAAGAACTCTTGTGATATGAAGAATATCGATGTAGTCATTAGAGCCACGAACACAACAAACCACGAAATACGGGTCAATTCGGGACAGAATATAGCAAGAGAAGAAGTTGTTACAAGTATTACTTCCATATTAACGAACATCATATGTAGTCACCTAAAAACAAGATGTCTGATGTCAGAGCTTCACAAAAGGGAATCTTACTACGTTATTTACAGGAACTGTATGACCACAACTGCAAAAATCTTATAATCAATCTACACAAAGATTAAATGAATTGCTCATAGATTCTATAGAATACTAAAGTACCTTCTCCAGTGGGTTTCATGACATAGGCTGGACAAATAACATGTCTCATAACACCGATAATAGAGATGCAGTGGCAGTATGCCAGTTGGCTAGATGACTTCCCAATGCAAAGAAGCTGAAGCACTCAAAGAAATAGATGCAAAGAAAGAAGAATGAGTAATTGGACTGAGTACTAGTTCTTGGGAACCACCAATTGTACTGTGAAGAAGAACAATGGATCCACATGGTGTTTTGTGTGTTACTAAAAGGTCAGTAAAGTCACAGAGATGGATAACTACCAACTGCCAAGGATCGGCTCTATTTTGGATGCTTTATTTGGGTCAAAATGGTTTTGAACCTCAGGTGTGAAAAGTGTATGTTGACAAGTATGAACCGACGAATAAGTCTAGAAGAAACAGGTTTGTCGTAGGAAATTAAATGTGGCGATTTGTTGTGTTACTATTTGAGTTACAATACATCGATTACATGAACGACTCATGGAATGTTTTCTCTCTCTCTGAACTACCCTGGTGTGTTGTACTCATCTAATTAAATCACATAATTACACTGTAGAATACCTTCAATTATGTTTGTTTTTATGGACTAGGAAAAATACTGGGCCAGTTAAGGAAAGAGAACCTTAAGATGAATCCCAAGAAGTGCGATTTTTTCACCAACAGATGAGTTTCCTGGGAGAGAGTGTGGTTACAGACCCAACAAAGACCGGGTCTGTCCAGAATTGACCAAGTGAAATAAGAGGATTTCTTGGATTGTGTTTCCACTGTCAATGTTTAATAAAATCATTTACTGGTAGAGCTCATCCTCTACACAAACTTATAGAAAAAACAAACCACTGGTGATTGTAAAAAACATTCAACGAATTAACGAAAAATTAATTATTTCTCCTGCATTAGCTTCCAGAATTTTGAAGATTTAGTCATAATACATACATTTGAAGTGATTTTGCAGTGGGAGTAGTGTTATCACAAGTACAACATGGGAAATAATATGTGTATCACTTACTTTAGCAAGGAAAATATTTCTGCACAAAAGAGTTATTGTACATCTCAAAAATAATTAATAAGTGATGTTCAAGCCTTGACAAAAGTTGAAATTCTGGGCAGATCGTGCAGCATTGAAGTGGCTGATAAATTTCCAAAATCTAGATGGTCAGAGCAGGATGGTTTTCAGATACTTTAGGAGTACAATCTCAACATTGCCCTGGGTGGATCCATGAAAATGCCTGTACATTAGCTCTAAGTCCTTCTACTACTGAAGAACGTAAACACTGTGAAAAGAGGGAAACACATGATAATAAGACAGCCAACATTAGGGTGAAACAGAGCAAAATCCACGATGTGACAACCATGGATGTGGTTCAACACTCAAAGATACTCGGGCAAAATATGAGTATATACCAATTATCCAGTGGACTTGAAATGATGCAGAATGATCCTCATAGCAAATAATGGTTCAATACAGCTTCTCCCATCACTTCCCAAAAAATTATGTACTGGGCACATGATGGAGAAATACAATGATATGCTTTTAAATCAGTAAATCAGTTTTTTAAATAAATATCAGACAATGTGGGATCAGGATCTTTCCACTCCTACTCATGTTTGGAAGAACACGAAAAATGCCAGGGGACCTCCTGTACCCACACTCTGAAGACCATCGCTCAACAAAGACGCTATCAGGTTTTTACTTATGTGTGTGTGTGGGTTGGATTCTTTACAGTACGTGTCTGTGACTTGTTGGCGATAAATTTCAAAATAAACGGACAGCACACGATCCATTTGTTTTTAAATAATATATTCAAAACAAGTCAAACATATATACAAATGTTCATTACACAGTTAATCACCACATTTGTATCAAGAGCTTTAAATAATCGTCTATTTTCGTCAAAAGGCCACACAGACTGGTTCAGTTGCTTTAGAACACAGTTGACAAGACAAATTATTCTTCTCTACTCTGTTATTACTATACAATATGCAGTTTTTGCACTCTAAAAGTTGCCACTATACACTCTTTATGGCTAATCTTACAAACACAGTCTAGATCTGTTTGACTACATCTTCCACTAACTTTGTCTTACTTTCACTTTCACCAACTTGGTCGTCTATATATATATATGTTGTCTGATGGAGGCCTAAAACTTTCTACAAACTACAAGTCGTTATGATGTAACAATACTCATTTAAAGCAACGAGAAAAATTCATAAAATTCGAGTAACGTGATGTCAATTTACAAAAATTGAACTACACAACAAGTAGTAATAACAAACAGTTACGTAAGTTAACCTGCGATAAATTATCGCTTCTAAAGATACTAAATTTAACACTCGTGCTTTATAACTATATAGATCATAAAACTAGTATTAAATTTAAACGAAACAGTCGTGTATATCTAATAGACTAGCACACAGTAAGCAATGAGACTAAGGAACATCACCACGCCATACAAGACTTTACACAAGAAAGAGTTAACTTAGCTGGTGGTGAGACGCTAAGGTGTAAATGCTGATAAGACTGGATTTCATCATGGTGACATAATATGAATGTACAATCCACAAGCAAGAGAGGACTATCTACAAAGTTAATTAGATGTGAAGAATCCTATGTAAATAATCAATTATATGGTTCATATAATCTGAAAAGAGGTGGCTCAAACCACAGGTCATCCCCATGATCATCTTTGGAAATTCATTGGTGAAAGAACAACCAACCGGTTAACTTTAAACAAAAACAAGAACTACTGAAGAACTCAAGGTTCCTGTTGAGAGCTGGGGACAACATCCAAAGTGTCATTGTGGATGAAGTAACTAGAGAATTCCCTGGACCAGCTACATGAAAATTGTTCCTCGGTGACAAAATGGCAGATGAAAATAAAGAATCAGAGATCATCCTATACTTTCACTTTAAGTCATGGAAAAGAAAATCTCCCAAGAAGACTGGATGACTGACAGTTTAAGGATAGAATATGATCAAAAAGATTTTGTTTTGTTTTTAAATCAAAATTTTGTTTGTACTTTGTTTCACATATTTAGTTAAAGATTGTATTTATGAATATTAATGTTGATAATTGTGAAGCGTAGCTTTATTGTTAACTATGGAAGTTTCAGTTTAATGTACAAATGTTTTCTTTGCCCTAATGGGATTAATGAAGGGATTTCACACATTCCATGCAGGTGTGGGGAGGGGGGGGGGGTTGTGTACTATATTTTTTAATTTAGGAGTTTGTATTATTGTTTCGCCAGTGAAGGGTTTTAATGTCACGTGACAGGCATGGTTTAATGACTGGAACCTACTTATAAGTTTATGAAACAAGTTAAACTAATAAAAAGCTAAAGATTATTTAATTATTGTGTTTGTGAGTTTGGTTAGTCAGTTTATCTCTCTCACTGTCAAACAGTTAGTCAGTTCTTCGTGTTTAGTAAATTTTGAGTTTGCATTTGCAACGAAGTTCCAGAGATACCAAAAATTTCCTTACGTACGAGAGAAGTTGGTAAATAAGTGAAATTATTGTATTAGCAACTTTTAATTTAGGTCTACCAATGAGTTTAGTTAAGCCAAATTGTAGAACTTATAGTCGAAGATATAAAAGACACATTTGCAATCATTAAGTGGACTGGATTTTGCATGCTTCTTTTTACCGAAAAATCCAGAAAAACCGGTCCAACAATACAAACAATTCTAATAAGATTTTAGTAACTTTCTTTTTTGCGAGAAGATAGTACGTATTACAAAGAAAAGTCATAACTTCACAGCAGGAATTCGATGACATAAAACAAAAAACATATCTATTTTGTAAACGTAAATAGGCTTTAACTCTGCAGAAAAAGCAGTTAATGAGGTGAATCATGGGAAAAAAACCAGCTAACTTCGTTAGAAGGTTAGAGAAAAGTGTTTTAAGGCTTAATAAACTTTTACCTTCAAGCCTTATCATTCCATATATTAAC